CAGTCGAGCTCGCGCTCGCTCGCTTCACCCGAGACGCGGTCCGAGTCCATAGAGCTGCTGGGCTCCGAAGGACTCGACGAGCCCGATCTCGGTGGAGTGGAGGCTCGGCGGTGGGGACGTGGTCCATGGGGAGAAAGCTAAAAGCTTCAAACAGGTCTTGGACGTGGTCCACTGCAGCAGGCATAGGTCATCTTTTTATTGGTCTTTCGCGTTGGCCGAAGACGCTTGTCTGTGGCCGCCTGCATCTAATTCCTAATTGGCATGGGCTTTCGTGCCACAAAAGTCCATCCCCATCTCAGCTTCCAGGTTGAACTCTTCATTCAAAAATGTTCAAAACACGCTCCCAAAAGCTGGGTTGCGAATGGAGTTTTGGCGAGAATGTCTGCCGTGCTGAATTTATATACTGGTTTGAATTGGTTTGACATCTTCCTTCGCCACACAGGAAGCTCCCCATCACTCTCCATCCACTGGGCTGCCCGGACAGCGGCTGCGCTTTCCACGTGCACCGCAGTGGTGGCAGTTGGAGCAACGCCGCCGGCGCCACCGGAGCCACTGGTGTGGGCGGTGGCGCTGGGGGACCACTCATGGCGAGTGAGAAGGCAGCTGGGCAGCTGCAAAACGTGGCGAAACAGGAGTGATGGACTGTTGGCGGTTTTGCAACGTGGTGATTGTGCAATGAGTGTCCCCCAAAGAAATTCAATAAGAACCTGGGATGAAGGAGCCAAAGGAGTTTGGATGAGTTTGGGTTGACAATCCAGCTGCTCCACACGCACCTGGACATCTGGACTTAGCATCAAATCATTTGTTCAGAGCCAGGCGCAAACCATGAAAGCGTCTGAGACACTTTGTCTGAGCCCACATGAAAACGTCTTGTGTGAACTGTAACGATGGTCCGGTTTCCAAACTCTGGCTGAAACACAAGGATTTCTTGGTTGCTGCCGACATCAAGGGGCTTTGAGCTTCGCCGTAGACTCTTTGATGCAAATCGACTGAAGCCGAAGAAAAGTGCGCATGCGCAGGCGATCCACAAACGAAGCGGCAAGCTGCCTGAAGTTTCTGATAGGTAGCACCTCTCTCGATGTGACAATCAAGAGCAAGGGGCCGCTTTTTTGTTCCCTATTTATTCCCGATACATTTACATGGCTAATCAGCGTAATCATAGGGCAACGATTTGGAACACGGGAAACATTGTCGTGCTAATTCTGGCTATCTCCAAAAGCACTTCCACATCTCAAACTGCCCAAATTGTCCACTGCATTACACCCCAAGAGTTCCCAATTTGGAATGAAACCTATTGGTGAACCACCTCAGCTGCGAAGAAATGGTTTTCTCAACCCACAGTAATGCAATTCCAAAGCCTTGGGGTAGACTTGAGTTGATCCAAACATGTCTTGAATAGCGCTTGCTCCCGGAGTTGTTGCCAACTACTTTAAACAACCGGTATCCTCAACTCACCCACCACCAAAACATAAACCCAAACGTCCCACAGTGAGGGTTCATGATCCCCACACCCGCTGCCCAAGCTTGACTGACTCGACTGTTGAATCAAACCATGTGTTTCTTGATGTCAAAGCATATCTTGCTATGGGACATGCCCATCTCCAATTCGCTCTCCCATACCGGAGAAGAACAAAAACACGCAGAACATATACTTTTTGAAACATATATGGGTGTGTCGACCGAACCGCCGGCGTTCCAACCCCCCCGTGAAGGTTCGGGACATAGACGTAAGCTCCCAGCCCTTCCAGTTCCACCCAGCCCGGGCTGCGCACTTCAGCCGCAAGCAGGGATGCTTCCACTTCAAATCCTGCAGGTCACCCCTTTTCGGCTTCAGCCGACGGGCGAAGGAGGGCGTTCGGCGCTGGAATGTGGGTGGAGAGCCGAGCTCCATCGGAAAGAAGCCAAGAAGGATCGTTTGAAGGCCGCAAAGAGTTGCCAAGAATCTCTGGAACATCATCACCCATAAACGATCCAATTCCAAACAAAAAAACAAAGCAAAACCCCTTTGTTTCGTCACGCGAAGACGTCAACGTCTCCGTTTTCGGAGACCGATCTCTTGGGCTGTCCCTCGACTCGGTGGACCGCTCCTCAAAGGGATACTGCGACTTCACAGCTTCGATTTCGCGGCCGAAGCGTTCGGTGAGGCCTCCGAACGCTGAGCCGCTAGCTATAGGCGAGGCGCGCGGCTGGCTCGAATCGATCGAGATGAGGCAAAGCGGAGAAGGCGAGAGGAGCGGAGGTGGTGAGGAACCAAGCATCTGTAGTTGTTCTTTTACCTCCAAATCAGGATCTTAAGTCAAATCAAGTCACATCTGATCAAATAGCTGACATGGAGTGTTTCGACGGGATTGAAAACTCGAAGGGATCGACGGCGGGTTTGATCCTTGCCGCCCATGACGAAGACGTCGCCGTCGAACATGTGCACGGAATTGACCAACGGTGGCTCGGGCCGTACTTTGGGGCGTCATCCGATTCCATTGGAGTACATCCTAAATTCCTGACCCACCAGAAGGGCCAACGTGATCATTTGGTCTTCTTGCCCAATGCTAACTGTTCTTATATAGTTCCTGCAATGCTAACTGTTCGTCTGAGTTCCTGCAGCACCTGTAAAACAACCAACTCATTTCTGGGCACCCATAGTTGTGGAGAAGTGGACCCTGGGTGGTGCCACAACTTCGTCAAACTCTTCTTCTGCATTGGCACATCTGGGCTCCGGAACTGGTTCTGGTTGTGGTTGTGGTAGTGGTGACTCTTAGCAGTAGTCGTCGTGGTGGGTGGTAGAAGTATAAGTCGAAGCAGCAATAGGAGTGAGGATTAGTAGCAGTAGAAGTAGAAGTAGAAGTAGCAGTAGCAGTAGTAGCAGTAGTAGTAGCAGCAGCAGAAGCAGCAGCAGCAGCAGCAGGAGTAGTAGTAGTAGTATTTAGTGGTAGTGGTAGTGGTAGTAGAAGTTGTTGTTGTTGTTGTTGCTGCTCAGCTTCCATGAACCTCTTCAGGCGATGCATCCCTTTAGAACCCTTATCTGGACTGCGGCAAACTGCTATAGGGTCTTGCGAACCAGTTCGTCATCCAAGAAAGGGCCGGTGCTGCATCTCCTGCCTTTGAAGATGTGGTTGAACAAGCCATCCAACACTTCCAGCACCTGGCCGCCAGGCCAAGGGGAGCTGGAGTCTCGGCCGAGCCGCAAAGCACCGGTGGAGTCTCCCGGGTGCTCTAAACAGGCTTCTTTACACCCATGCTCGGGGGTTCAAAGGCGTTCTTTACAGCCAGAGCAAGCTGGCCCCATGTTCTGCTTCAGGATCAGACCGCCCGATCCGCTCAGGTCCACGAGGACGGTCACTTAAAGGGGTCGTACCCCAGATGGGTGGTGATGTTGAGCTCACGAAAAGCCGGGCAGTAAGAGTAGCTGGGACGCAACAGAATCCCAACAGATCATGTTGTGCACCACTTCGGAGGGTCCAACCTGCTGGAGACACCATGACGTTGCACACCCTGAGGCTATCCCACCATCAAAAACACTTGTTGGCAACACCCATATCCACACTTGCATTGATCTGCATTGCCATTCTCCACCCTTCATTCCAACCAAAGGTGTCGGACAACCCCCCCAAACAGACAGGATCCTATGCCTCCCATCATCCCAAGCTTCCACACCTTAGCAGGGTTTATCAAAAGTCAAGCTATACAACGGTCACGAGACGCCCCGGCCGGCGGGCCTCATGGTAATGGTCCTTGAAGGTCATCTCAATGTCCAGCCCGGTGAACTCCGTCATGTGCCTCGCATCGACGGCGTCCCCGTCGTCGACGCGCCCCATGGCGTCGGTCGAAGCTATGCCTCAGACCCGGTGCGCGCGTCGTCTACGCGCCTGTGTGTGAAGGACTTCTCAGAGCGAAAGATGGGACCCACTTCAAAGACCCGTGGCCTGGGATGGAGCGGAGGAAGACGGAATAATAATTGGTAGGCGGATCATGGGCAGCATCTATGTAGATGGATGGGTAAATCTCTGTAGAATGAATGTAGGTGCATGGATAGTATGTCAGTACTTGATCTGTTGAATATCTGATTATTGTACTTTAATGATCAGCCATTTACATTCCTACTGCGGTTACTGGCCGCACCAAAACGATCCAAAACGCACGCACAAAAAAACAACAACAACCTCCGGTCTGGGCGCTCCCGGCATGTCGGTCATCAAGGCCATTTGTTTGTACAGCTGCGGCGACTGCGCCAGAAAGGCACTGCCCTGGTCGTGCTCGGATCCATCGACTGACCAATTCGGTTCTGAATCAGGTGGCACAAAGGTTTGCCTCATGAGATAAGGCCCCCCCAAAAGCCGTTCCAAGGCGGCGTTCACGTGCACGCCATTCCCAGACGCTCCATGTATACCATGCCGATTTTTGTCGTGGTGGGTTTGGGGGGTAGTCCGAATGTCGGCAGTCCTATGGCAGTCCCACCCAAACACTACATGTATGCCATATATATACCTACATTGACCCCCAAAACCACCCCAACTGATCGGCAGTCCTATGGCAGTCCCATGGAGTGTTTGGGAACCAGTCGTTCGTGGAGGACTCACTCCGCCGACTCGATGGGACCGGCCGTAATTCAAACACCGTTGGCCGCGGAGGCCGAAGAGCTCGCCTCAAAATAGTCCACACGGAACACATCAGCCTCAGAACGAGAGAAGTGCGGCCGGATGGAGGTGTTCAAGAAGAGTGGTCGACGTCAGTGTGGACGCATTTGACGTCCCAGCCTGGAGTCCCAAACAATGACGTCCAATTTGAGTCGCGCATCGAGGGATCTCTACATATAAAGGTAGAAAAACGAGAAACAACATGTGTCTAATGGCATTCAATAGCAAACTAGGATGAATATTGATCTATACGAAACCTGGCAGGCAGGAGCATGCCCTGCAAAACCTGTCTCATGATGTATCAAAAGCTGCATCAAACCCTCTGTCATCCTCTGTCGATACACTCCATGTCCATCACTGAGGCACTCCTTTTTTGTCCAGTTCTGAAAGGCACACGCCCGAGCCCTAGGGCTCACTTGCGTTGATGCTGCCATGGTTTGCTCTTCTTGTAGCGGCTCCGGTCCCTGCACAGTGCAGTTCTGCACGTAGCTCTGAACCGATGACCCTGAACTTCTAACCGCAGCCCACTGCCAAGAGTCCGTGAATTTCGCTTCTATAATATCCGATGTTTTGGTCAAACACTTATTATCTAATTCAACATTGGGCAATATCCCATTACCAGTACCAGTGGATGATAGTTTGTAAAGGTTTTTCCCCAAACTAGTGATCATCTTTTACCATACAACACACCATGACATGACCAGCCTCCGGCCTCCGGCTCTTGTCTTTGGAGCCCTTGGCACCCCGTGAAGCCGCGTTCTTGCCACGCGCGTGGGCGCTAGCCACGCCATGCCTTGGTGATGAGGTAGGGTTTGAGATGGAGGTTGCCAACACTGAAATCCTCGGGTTTTTTGAAGGGTGATCATGAAATGTGTTTCTCACATGAACACCAAATACATACAGCATACCAAACCATTTTTGATTGGGGCCTTGAGATGAAAAAGAGTCGTATAACGACCTATGAGTCCTGTGATATCCTATGACTATGACGAACTTGATGGACCCCACTGGAGCAAGTCGAGCAGTGCAAAACAGGAAAGAACTGGAACGATCAGCGAGCATCAGCAACTACAAAAAGACCTGAAGTTCCACACGTGCACCCTCAATTGAGAGCAGGTTTGTAAGTGAAAAAGATAAACGCTGCGTGTCTTTTCTCCAACAATCTGGAGTCTGGTTCTGCTGTGTCGCATGTCCAGCATGTCCAGGGTTACTTGAGACAAAAACATGAGGCTGTCCTCGAAACATTCGAGGGAAAAAACAACATGAAAAACACATACAATATAACATAGATCTGCTAGGGAACACAAGCATGAGGTAGTTCAAAGCAGAAGTTAGCTGTTTCACAACTTCACGAGAAAAATCATAGGAATCCAGGAAGCCCCAACCAAAATCATGGTGCCAACAACGCGCGCACACACACACACACACTGCAACTCCCCAGAAAAACCTCAACGCCAAGAAAACGAGACGCTCCCTCGTCCCGTAGTGTGTTCACCCCCCTTCACCGGCGTGGCGTTTGGGCCGGTCGGCGCCATCCCAGCGAGGTCGAAGAACTCCGACTCCAGGATTTCCTTACCGTCACGAGTGACGCAACGCGCGCGACGAAGGCGCCGAGGATTCCGGAAAGGAAAAAACAGGAAGCGATGAGAATTGTGGTGCTCCTCCCAAATCCTATCAAAACCGCATGGTATTTCAACACATAGAATGGACCTGTCATACGTCAGAAGCCAGTGGCCAAAATCCTGCAAGTATAAATGCTGCTGTCATCTGTTGTCCATTCTGTGTTCACGCATCAACCAGTTTTGACACAAGGAGTCCCGGACATGTCCGCCCAACCGACAGAGGCCAAAACCGGAACCTGGAGTGTTAAGAAGGCCCACCAGGTGACTTCAAACCAGGTCGAAACATGAACATCATGAAACCCATTGGATCCGTGATCTTTCTGCCTGCGACATGGTGCGACCACCCCACTCGACCTTGTGCGACCATCACAAGTACCACTGTGGGTGTTGTTTCAATAACTCGCCTCTGAAGGGGAAACGGAACGCGCCAATGTGGGCTGGGTAAGTCCGAAGTCACCCGGGGTGACTTGGATGGTTTTGCCACATGAAGACAGCTGCAAAGTCTGTCACAAGACCCTGGTAAATCCTGGTACATCCAGGTGGCTAGACCGAACTATTTATGCCAAAGCCCCCTAAGTGGTCAAAACAAACAGTCTCGCCACGACCAAAGAGTCTGTAGCATTGGCACGAGTCAACGACTTTCGTCCAGAACCGAAGCCATCACCATGAACTGCTAGACAAGAAGGATAGGATAGTAAGCATCATAGCCCAGGGTTCTAGGACGATTTAGTTTGTGAGCCCACCCAACAAAAAGAACCATCCACCCAAAGAGAAACACATTCGGCACAACGTTCCCAAATTCCCATGCTTTCGCGAGAGCCCCAGTGGCATACTCTTCAAATGGCTTTCGCCCGGCATATCTTCCTGCTTCCTCTGCTTCAACCGCCGCCTTGCGCAAGGTCCAGCTGCGCCGCCGCTCGGGGCTGCTGAGCTCCTAGCGTCACGGGGCATTGAGTGGGAAAGTCAACGCCGAAAGAACAAAAAACTAACGAAACTACATTTAATTAACCTGGAGAATCAAAAGTACAAAAATAAGTGTACGTAGGATAGAACGCTCGTTTTACCAAAGAGCGCTCGAAGTAAAAAAGAACGCTCGTACCACAACAAAGCCCACCCAACCAATCCAAACCCATCGGGCCTGCCATCAGCACACATGTTTCCACACACGAGCTGGACAAGATTGGTCGATCTGTGAGCCGGGAGACTCAGTTGACTCAGTTGGCACAAGCTTTGCGCCACTCCACTCGGTAGTGAATTAGGCACTTGCGAATTGTTTGAATTGGTAACTCTATTCCGTGAACCTTTCTGCATACACGGGCCGTCTTGCCGATGTAATCTTCATCAGCCCAGCAACTTGTGCCTAAGTTCAACCGTGTTCCAAACAAACTGAATCGGATTGAATCGGAACATCAGCTGCTACCGGGTTGATGTGCATGTATACCGGCCAAGTGACAGTGTGGATTCAGAACCCACGCTGCAGATTGCTCCAGCTGATATTGCATTTGTAGCCTCCAGATGGATGCAGTGTACCATTTTACTGGGGAAGGGCCCACCACCATTTCACGGGATAGATCTAAGGTCTAAGGTTATAGGTTGAACTCGACTTGGTGCGGGCTGGGTGCAATATATGTTGGAACATATGCACCTTCGGGCGCAAGTACCACAGCGCCCATCCTTTGGATGCGCTGATTTGAGCGCAAGCTCCATATGCTTCCTTAGCTAGGCATGGATATAAGACCTGAACATCTCCGACTCTTACGGAACATCCCCATCCCCAGTGAAACAAAAGATGGAAAAGTGTGGAAGAGTTCAGCGGAGGGGCACAGAAATTGAACCCGCTCTGAACAGCTTCGGCCGCTTGCAAAGGTGTCAGCCACAGCTTTCCCTTGTAGATGATTCTCAGGAACTTGGAAATGCTGATGTGGCCCCATCGCACGATTCGAAACAAGTCTCGACAGCTTTCCTCAGCTAGCTTGCACCCCCCAACCAGACCAGCCAGGCAGTTTGGTTCTCAACACCATCCAAACCCAATAGAAAAGTTTTAGCTGATCCAACTAATTCTTGTGAGAATCGGGAATGTTTGCAAAATCGTCATTCATTTCCTCAAGAACTGCTTCCAGCCATCCACCGACCACACCCGCGTCCGATCCCTTGCCAAGTCCCCGTGGAAACTCTTGCAGCCTGAGCCGGTGAAGGCTGGTGGAGAAAAATGCATGGGACGTGGGCCCGGTTTTAGAACGTTTGGGCACAAAAACGAAAACACATGGCCAACTTTCGATCATGTAACGATGTAATCTTGAGTTCGCTTTTGTCGAATTCCCGGATTGTGGTGTACTTTTTGTGGGCTGCACACCACAAAGAGAAGGAGCCAAAAGCCCTGTCCAATTGTTCTTGGAAAGGGCCAGCACACCAATGTTGGCATCGCACCGCTACAAAGACCAGGGTCGAAGCTAAGTGGTCCTTTGACACCCCGGCTATGGCCAGGGTATGGGCCAGGTCCACCTTGATGAAATTAGGGTTGTCCCCCGCCAAATGAACGTCACGGAGGGGTGATTTTGCACCACGATGATATGGGCTTGGCGCAACACCATTGCATGGCCAGGATCGCGTTTGGCCGGTTGAAGAAAGATCCCACCATTCCTTAACACAGCAGAGCTGGAATGTTACACTTGCAAATGGTTTTTGCCATTGGGACGACATCTATCAAAGACATGCGCCAATCAATCTTGCGTGCTGGGAATCATTGCTTGGGCAAATGTGGCACTTACGCCGAGAGCTGAACCCACTTTGTAGCCTATAGGCGCTCCGGATAAAGGGCCAATCGCCCTTAGTACCACAAAACTGCATGTAGAACTTTTGGGTGACGTCCCCGCACGTGACCTGCAAGGGGCATGTCAATACCATTTCCCAAACTCCCCAAAGATCCTATTAATGTGGTGTGGTGTTTCAATGGGGAGGGGCACCACAACCTGGAAAGCCTTTCATCGGACCGATTTTGTTTCACATGCCTCCACACCATTCTGACTTAGCTCGTTGAAATCATCGACCACCGCCCGCAACACCGCTTGCATGGTCGCACCGTTGGCTGCGTAATGCTGCGCAGGGATGACTGTCAGAAGCAGTCGCGTTGTGAAGGTATGCCTCGAGTGCGAGGTGCTGGCGCCCAGGAGGGATGGGAAGTATGCGAATCCTTCACTAGTATACGACAAGGTACTGGGTAGATGTGACACACTCCTCTCCCTTCCAACCGATGATAGGCTGGGCAGCTAGAACTAGTACAGGACGATGGCATTGGCCTCGACCCTCATCACCATGAAGGAAAAATGGAATGGTCAGTTCTGGATCATGAGGGCACACGTCGTCTATCCCCTTGTAGCGCTCCCAAAAATGCCGCAGCATACCCTTGATGGAATCCAAGTGGTTGATCTTGTAGCCTCCAAGTAAAAAGAAACCATCATAAGGATGTTGGAAAGCTGTCCTGAACCAAGATGACAAGTAGAGGATAGGCCACGCCCGTACTTCTTCTATATGCTTGTAGCGACTTTTTCCACGAACTGGCACCATTAGCGATGAAATTGGTACTGGAAGGGTCTTTCCTTTCTTGTGGATGTAGCGGAAGATGTTTCTGCTGGCGTTGCAGATCTTCTGGGTATATATTCCGCGCTTTGCCATCTCTGCAACATTAGGGTCATAGATTCCTTGGATCGCATTCATAGGTTCTCCGAGAAAAAAAACTTGCAAATCACATCTACAATTGTATCACATCCCAGGGGCCATACCGTTCAAGTAGCTTTTGAGTCTTCACTGCCCCTGACATCACATCCTTGGCTGATGCCTCAGCTGTAAAATTCACAATGAGTGGCCACTTTTGGTGATGATTGCGCTGCAAAATAGAAGAAACCAAAGTACAGTGGACCCACTGGGCGCCCGTCAAAAACCACCCCCTAAATCCAACAGCGCAGGGAAGCACAAGCTTGAGTGTCACTCCCAGGAACACCCTTTGCAAAGTTCTCTACCCAGGAATCTGTGAGCTCGCAGTCGTCATTGTCAGATGATGAGGAGTCACCTAAGCACACTAGGCTTGTTCAAGGCTAGTGGTGAATTGCAACCGAAACTTGACATACAGGCGGAGCTCTTGGAACTAGAGTGGGTCAAAGGAGGTGAGCAAAGCCAGCCACACACACATCTTCCGCCAAGTCACCTCTCTCCAACTCATCATTGCGGTGACCTGGCTTGGGCAAAATCAACCCTGGAGTTTGTGTGAGATAGGGGCGGTCAGCGGAGAGAAGTCCTCTTCAAAATGGTATGGCGACAAAAGATTGATCCCTGTGTGTTCTTTTGGTGGCGTATAAGCTTTCTCATCCATGACATGGTGGGCGTTCTGCAAGCATGTTTTTCCCCAAGAACTTGTGCGGTTTTACTCAAAAGGCCTCCAAAGATCACCAGCCGCTGCATTTTAGAACTGAAAGTAATGGGTCTTGACTTTGCAATCGGAAGTTGTTGATCATCGACGGCTGAGCCTCCGGAGCACCCCATAAGAACTATGAAATTGGGTTTCTTTGGCAAGTGTCCATGAAACACAAGCCCCTGTCCAAAATTCAATCCCATCCAGCAAATAGCAACATAGCCACGGCTACTTCTTAGCCTTCCTGGCTTTTGACTTGCTTCCAGCTTTGGCTTCAGCTTTTGCTGAACCCTTTGCATCAGCCTTGGCTTTGGCCTTCACTTTGCGGCCGCCAGGCTCACTGCCCACCACAGACCCTGGCCCATTGGTCGTTTTGATGGACCTCAGCGAGAGGATTAGGACTGGTGAAGAGGGCGCACAGTCGGAAATGCGTGTTCAAATTCGAGCAAATAGCTATAACTCCCTTTGCTGACTAAATGACCTTGTACGCTGCATCAACGCGCACATGGACACGTCCAACTTCGTGCACGTCACAAAGAGTGCTTGAACACTACTGCGCTTTTTCCTCAAAAACACCACACAAGAAGCTATATGGAAAAACAGCAGACCTGTAATCTCTTTTGCCATCACTTGTTGACGGGTGAACAAGGCAAGACTCTCATCAATTGAATCTGGGGCTACGGTAGCTTGGGATAGGTTCTCTGCCAACTTGTCGTAGCACGACTCCATTTGGCCCAGGACATTCTTCACTTGCAAGTGCAGCCTCAGGACAGTGCGACGATCTTAGCTCCGCTGTTGTGACCTGGTGCTCATGACTTGCAGACTCATGTCCTAGGGACTGCTTGGAAGCTGCAGTGTTCACATCATTGATTCGGTCCTGCAAGAGGTCATGGGTTCGTATAGATCTATAAAACTATAAGTATGCACGGCATGCAAAACTTCACGTGGCATCTGTCCAGCTCAGCTTGGACCTTGTCAACTTTCTTTCCCAAAACTTCCACAAACTGTGGCAACACTTGCAACGGTGTTGTCGTGGCCGTGACTGTTGGGAACGTAAGCCTCAGAAGCGGGTTGAAACACGTAGGGGTTTGCATATGGAACATGTTGGTTGCTGACTCATTCAAAGAAAAGCTGCCATCTTTTAGGATAGCAGCTTGAAACTCATGACCGATGACGTGTTCCCCACACCTGCTGGCGTTTTGTTTTTGCCATCGCTTGGATCCGGCAAGACTGCCAAGGCCCCTCCACGAATGTCGGGGATCTCGGAATCCAGCAGGGTCCCTTCATCATCCTACACAGAAATTGGATCCGGAAAGGGCGTTTGGGGTTTGGGCGGTCTAGTCTAGTCTAGCATGTGTGTCCCTCCCCCACCTGACATATCAATGAACCACTTCGCTCTTTTTCTTCGATCTCTGTGTCCATGAGATCGAAAGTATCATCGACTACGATCTGAATTTCTTCCTCACCATGGATTTCGTTCTTCCGTTTGCGACCATGAGCTTCGGCCCATTGCCAAGCTTTCTGGATCA